TATTGCTCATCCTTTACTCCACTCTGCAAGTCACCCCATAAATAACCCAACCACCTCCCTGAGGAAAATCTCAGAGACGACTGCTATGTCACAATCTTCCACATGAGTTCTCTTTCAATCTCTCTCTCTCTCTCTCTCTCTCTCTCTCTCTCTCTCTGTACAAAAGGTGTTTTTATTATAGCAAGGGGGACAGGACACATGCACAGAAAGAACTGCAAGTCCTGTCGCTTAATTAGGTTCTTATACTCAACGATTTGTTGTGTTTGTGTGAGTTATTGTGCAGGATGCATAGAGATAGTCTGGCTGCCTTAAGGTAGCCATTGTAAGGTCTGTTGGAAGTCCAGCTAAAAGCCAGACAGAAGTGTATATAAATCCTTCATCCACCACTTTCAGTCATAAGAGTTTAGGCAATTATTTAACCTCTGTATACCTGAGTTTCCTCTTCTTTAAGGGCCACCATATCTACTTCTTATGTGTATTATAACCCATGGACAGCTCTTAGTAGTAGGAGTTGAATAAATGTTATCTTTCTCCTTCAACTGTATACAATTCTTAAACTTTCATACCAGCTTTGTTTTTTATTAAGGCCAACTCCTAAGGTCAGAGTACAAAGATAATGAGAGGCAGAGTATTCCTAGGCAAAAAGAAGGAAGTAGTTTAGCCATGTTGAGCTAGTTTAGAGCAGAGGCTGGTAAAGCGCAGCCCCTGGGACAATTCTCTCCAGCCCTCCGATTTTGTAAATAAAGTTTTATTGGAATACAGCCATGTTCATTTCTTTACATATCATCTATGGCTGCATTCTGTACAATGGCAAAGTGCAGGAGTTAGGACAGAGATTTTTGTATGCCCCACAAAGCCAAAAATATTTACAATCTATGTTTTTACAGGGAAACTTTAGGTGTATGTGGTATTTTATTAGAAGATGATTGACACATGCAATTTTCTTCTCCAGATCTCCAAGATGAAGTGGTATACATTGGCAAGGATAGCTGAAAGAAGTAGGACGTTATGTTCTAAAGCAATCTAAGGATTACATTTTACCAAATTCCTTCCACCCTTTTTTAGACCAGAGACTGATGAGTTCTACAAAACCAGAATGTGGTTGTCAAGTGGCAGGTGGTGGGGAGACTTAACTGGTTTTCCACTGGTAGATAATTTGTTAGATCCTAAACAAAGAAGAAAGACTAATGACTCTAAGAGGCCAAAGCTAAAAGTCACAGTATATCTGCGTGGTTAACCCTGTGATACCAAAATGACTCATCAGAGTCTATGGCTTTCCTACTATTGATTTCATGGTTTCAATCTCTTTTGATTCAGTGTGTTCATCCTACAAGCACAGCTGAGGACCTTCTGATGCATGGCAGAGTTAGCTGCAGAGGCTCTTGATTTGCCCTCAGTTTTGGGGGGGGGGTTGTTTGTTTTTGGGTTTGGGTTTTTCGGGTTTTTGTTGTTGTTTGTTTGTTTGTTTGTTTGTTTGTTTGTTTTTAGAGCTTTTGGCTTCTCTTGGCAGTTGAAGAAACTGTGAAAGTTTCTGCTTTACTCCACAATCTCTGGATCCGCCTTTGAGCTAATGGTTTGGTCAGTAACAGGGACAGGCACTAGAAGACTGTCAGGGACAGAGTGCTTTATTCATACTGGGTATTTCAAGTTTAGAAAAGGAGACAGGCTTTCTGGGCATTTCAAGCAGAAAGGGACTTAATACAAGAAATTAAAGGTTTAAACAATTATGGAATGGATTACAGACATGTCAGTAGGGAAATCTGCAAGGGCTGGGATCTAGAAAACTGCTACCCCTAGAATCCAGGAGGAGATGCTGAAATGGATAATTCTCAAGAGTATTCATAAAAGGAAGCCACTGGCAACATGCCACATCTACTGACACCTACTACCTCACACATGCTACTAAGAATAAGGATTTCTCCTTTTCCTTGGCCTTCAAAACACCATACCAGCACCTCTCCTTGGTAGGATCCAACGCTGAACCCTGCTGGCAAAAATCTAGGGAGTATGGCCCTAGGCTGGCCCATAGGCTCTCCCATGCAAGGAGAATGAAGGAAGAAGGGAATAAAGTCTAGCTGATATTAAATGACTTAACTTCAGGAGAGCTTCAGGAAGACTTCCTAGAGAAGGTTATGCCAAAGACTGGGTTTTGAAAGATCAAAGTTAGCCAAGCCCTGCCTTGGTCAATGATTCATCAAAGGAGTTTCCCTTTCTAGATTGCAAGAGCCCAAGTTAGGGAAGTACCACCTTCCCAAGAAGTGCTCGTCTTATGCAACCAAATGAAGAGGTAGCTATAAATAGCCTGACTTTCTCACTATTGTGTGTTCAATTGGATAACTGCAAGAAATGTTTCCTTCCTGAAGAAAGAGAGTTAGAGTCACCAAATCAAACAGCAATACCTCTCCTCATTGGAAATACAAGTGGGGAAACTTTTCTCTCTGAACATATTTCATAGGCAGTTTGGAATTTTTGTGCCAAGGGAAGAAAGATCTGCCAAATACACTGGTTGTCAGGGCAACATACTGAGTGAGACCCTAGCATCTCCACCTTGATTTTAAAATCTCCCTGTTCTTTGTAGCTCCTCCTCTCCTTTTCAGAGATACATCCAAAACTCTCCAGATAACCATCTTACTGACAACTCATATTTCTTCTTCTCCTCAAAATTTAGATTGACAGAAACCTTCCAATACTGGGAAGATAAAGATGCAGCATCAACTAAGCACCTACTATTTCTTTTAATAGATGCTTTGAATCCTGGAAGGGAACTTTGTACCTATTGGATCCTACCTATTGAATCCTGTAAGGGAACTTTGAGATGAGGAATCAGATGAGGATTTTCCAGATGAGGAATCAGAGGTCAAGGAAATCATCTTTTCCAGATGAGGAATCAGAGGTCAAGAAAGGCAAAGTAATATTTCTAAGCTCACATACCCATTGCTGTCCTCCAAAGGATAAGGCTCACAGCTCAACTATAAGTGAATCCTGAATTCCATGATGATGTTCTTGGGTCATAAAGAGGGCATAACATCCTCACGCCTCTGCAAAACTATGTGAAACTTGAGCCCATTCCTGGTGACTTCCCTTCTTTCCCTCTTTTACCCAGAAAATAGGAGACAGCCAGATCTCACAATCACCAGTGACAATAGCCACAGTTGGGTTCCACTCCCACTTTAGCCTTCTTTTGTGTATTTTCCCACAGACATGGGGAAAAAAAAATCACTCCTTAGAGCCAAGGACCATGTAGATTTTCAAAATTTCAGGCCAAATTCATTTTAGGGATTTCTGATTTGCTGTATCTTCTCTCTCTTTCACCATTTCTTTAGTAACCAAGTAAAAAGAAAATAAGAAAATCTGTAAACACATTATAAAGATAAAACGTATAGGTCTTTTGTAAGATAATGTGTTCAACATTGTTTCTCTTCTCCCTACTTCATCTCATGGACTTCTCCTTTTTTTTAATAATTCTTTGACGTTTGGGGATCCAGGTTATTTTTATGACACTATTATTTTATGGAGTATAAAAGCTGTCTCCTTAATGAACTTCAGACTTTAATTCAGTTTTAAAACTGTAGTGGTAACATTTGTTTGTATCTTCTTTCATTGCTATCACCGCTCACTGCTTGCTCTTCTATATGGTGACCATCTAGTTCTGAGCTCTTAATTGTTTTATTACTCAGCTTGCATATATGACCTAAAGAGCTTTTCAAGGAAGATTTGAAGATAATACATCTTTTTATCTTCTTTGGACTTGCACTGATACAGTTCTAGTCCCTGCATATGTGAATGCTAACGGGAACTCAGAGGTAACATTATTCAGTCAGATCCTTTACTTCTCCAAACTCTATATAGATGCTACTAAATTATCTTCTGGTTTTTTAATGTGCTGGGAGGAAGATAATGAAGGTTAGATTAATTTTCATTGTCAGATACAGCCTATTGTTTCATATCTGGATAAGATATGTATGGAATTTGTGGAATAAATCCAAATTCTTATTTGTATTTTTCTTAGGAGGCTGCTAACCTTCACCAGGCTACATAGATGGTAGGCTCTGATCCTTCAGTTTTCCTAAATTGGGGACAGCCTCCTTGGAAGGCTCCACATTTTCTGCCCAATGTTTCAAAAACCTCCTTTATTATCACTATTCTCCTTTTACTTCTTGGTCTCTTTTCTCTAAATTCTGGAAGGTCTATCAAGTACGTCCTCCACACTGGTGACAGTGCTTCATGTGGCACCAATACTGCTCTTCCTCCCTTTAATGGGGATTGACTTCCAGCCACTGAACACATCTTCTCCTTGCTTCATTCCATCACTGTTCCCCATCCAACTCTTTGGCCTTTTCTCACTCCAGATTCTGCCTTTAGACATTCCGCTTCTATTTCAGAGAGACCTTCACTGAAATTTGTGGGAATGCGCTACAGTTTTCTAAGATGATCATTTAGATTCTGAGGTGAATTTTTCTCAGGATTTCTCTGCCTTACTGATGTGATTTCTTTCTCCTTTCCTTTGCAACACTTTTATGAGCTCCTTATTATTATTTTTTTAAAGATTTATTTTATTTATTTATTATAGTCACAGAGAGAGAGAGAGAGAGAGAGAGAGAGAGAGAGAGGCAGAGACACAGGCAGAGGGAGAAGCAGGCTCCATGCACCGGGAGCCCGACGTGGGATTCGATCCCGGGTCTCCAGGATCGCGCCCTGGGCCAAAGGCAGGCACCAAACCGCTGCACCACCCAGGGATTCCTGGGATCCTTATTATTATTGATGATGATGATATTATTCACTTTACTCATTCTTAGATTTGACAAGGTCAGTTTGTTGTAATTTTTAAAGTGGAAGAGAATGATTTGCTCTGCACACTGCCCTGGTGGTCAAATTCGTTCTCCAATCCACACTTTATGTTCACAGATCCCAGTCCACTCTCACTTAAATAGCCAGGTGTCACCGGGGACACCATGTGAATATGGTCCCCCTTCCCCAGCCCTCAGACCAGCCTCTGGTTCTCAGAGACAATGCACGATGGGAATAGCCCAGCCCCTGACAGGCAGAAATAGCTTACATCTTCATGCCCCGGCAGGCTTCTTCAGAGCTTGTCACAGTTGCTTGCCTCCCTAAGGCCACTTCGGTTCAGCAATTTGCTGTGATTCCCAAAATCTTCTTGGATTGGGAGGAGTGGAAGAATCAGAAGAAGAGGAAGTCTGAAAAAGGAGAAATAATGCTATTCAAGAGAACAACTCCTGAGGACAGGAACCAAGTGACTGTTCCATTTCCAGTTGACACCAGGCTTGGGGTTGAGTGTGAGTGTAGACAGTAGGTGGGAGTAAGGAAACTTCCTACCCATTTAAGGGAATTTCTTCATGAATGAAAGCAAGAGTATGTTACATGCTGGAGCCAAAGTAAGCGATCCTCAATCCAGATCCATCCACACCATAATCAATGTGAATTCTTCCAGATTCCATCATTAGGTTGTACTGTCAACCTTAACATTCTCTCTCACCTATAGTTTTAACGAGAAGAGCTGAATGTCTCAGCTTTGGGAACCACCAACCAGCTGCCATTTTGAGTTCAAGGCAGCTTACCTTGAACTCTTCCGATTTTGAAGCAGCTGTTACCTCAAAAGGCCAAAAAGAAAATATTCAATAACTAAAGCTCATGGTGCCCTGTTTCTTCCTCTACACAGTCTGGTTTAAAACTTGCCACAGAACAAGAGGGAAAAAGCAACAAAATGTTATTTTATTTATTTTTAATCCTTAAGATTATTTTAGTAAATCCTTTTCACAGAATCTTTCAAAGTTCAAGTTTAGTTTTCACTCAACATCTCAGCTTCTGTAGGTTGTCCCAGCAGCAGGCTCTCTTATGCTTCTGAGTGCCCCCAGGCTGGTCTGTGAAGCCCCATTTCTCACAGCCAGTCATAGAACCCACAGAAGGCAGGCTCTGTCTTTCTCACTTGGAGGCCCAGGCAGTTTGTCCTGGGTCATCAAGGCCTGGGGAGGAAGATTACCTCACCCACCCTCTCACTTTCAACTGTGAACTTTAGACATCTTGTGACTTTCCATCCCTTCCACCCTTCATCTCCTTTTCCAACTCCAAACTCTCCATCCACTGAAGGGGCTGAATCTTATGCTCAAGAAAATGTAAAATGCATCCCAAGGGAAGAACAAATTCTAAAAGAAACTAACACGTTTAGGGTATATTCATACGAAGAATAGCATGATGCGTTTGTTCAAAGGCTTTGGACTGCCAATGTTTAAATACCAGTTCTGCTACTTGATATCTGTACAAACTTGGGCAAGATAGCTAACCTCTTTGTGTTTTATTTCATCATCTATAAAATGAGATAATAAGAGTACTTATTGAGTTGTTGTGAGGATCAAATGAGTTAATGTATTCAAAGTGTTTTTTTTCAAAGTGTTTTAAAAGATAAATTCTCCATGCCCATTAGCTATTAATATTGACTCTTACACAGCAAGTGCTTTGGGGCATATTATTGCTAGGCACTCCATCCTACTACTTAGTTTTCCTCTTCTCCAGGAATCCTTGCTCAGGTCGCAACACACAAAAGGCATAACAGGAAACAAAGTCAGAGCCTTATTACTAGAAGGGCCTGCATACCATTTTTAAAAGAGTAAGATTTATCATCCACACTCAGTATTAGGTGTGATTCAGCTCAGGCCAGAAGTTAAGCCATTCATGTTTCAGAATGTCTGGTTCTTCATGGCAGTCTATGAGCCCACTCATCCATCCCTCTACCTAGACAGAGATACCCAACCTACCTTTTCTATACAGAACCAACTGGAAAATGGACCTTACATGAGCAGCCTCATAGATAGAGGCCTGTTCTGTTTACATACAGAAAAGAGAGTCCATCTTGAATGGGCCACACTTTGATGAATAATGTCTTCCTTCCTCATATCCTCTCTTCTGTGGAGAGAGACAAACATGCTTTTAACATACCAACAAGTTTCCCATAGAAGCCTTGACATAGCTCTGCCAACAAAGCATGCTTATCCATGCAACCCACTTGAAGCAACTGAGATTCAGTGGCAGAACCAAGATAAGAACCAGATTGTCAGGGATCCCTGGGTGGCTCGTGGTTTGGCACCTGCCTTCGGCCCAGGGTATAAACCTGGAGTCCCAGAATCGAGTCCCACATCAGGCTTCCTAAATGGAGCCTGCTTCTCCTCTGTCTATGTCTCTGCCTCCCTCTCTGTGTCTCTCATGAATAAATAAATAAAATCCTTAAAAAAAAAAAAAAAGAAAAGAAAAGAATCAGATTGCTCCCAGACAATATCCATGCTGCTTCCACCATGCCCCACAAGAACACTGTGTGTGGGCAAAAGTGAGAACATGTTAGGTCTCTGCAGTAGGTTGCTAAGCCAGGTGCAGAAAACACATCTACCAATAACCTGGGAATCTTATTTCAGCTCCAAGTAAGAGCCCACAAAGTCTGTCCACTAGGGCAGGTCCCAGATTCTCTTCGTGCAAGTGCACTTCTCTCCAACTTCCTACTCCTGGGTTAAATAAAATTTGCTCACATACCTGCCAGCAAAATTTCTGCAGGTTTTCTCAGGTTTCACTGGGCCTTGGGTTTCCCATCTGTAAAATGGAAATAGTATATTGATTTTGCCGTGTTGAGAGGATTACAAATCACATACTGAATCTCCAGTGTTTATTAGATGTTCACTTGAGAGGTGATATTCTTATATATAAGTGTGGTCTTCCCAGTATTTTCTGATACTTCTGGTCTTTCCCTGACCTTCTTCTATTCTGGTAGTTAGGCAGAGTAGCATCGGGTGATTCAGGGGAAAGAAATAGCAACAAAAGAAGAAAAAGTTTTTTAATCTCCCGAAGTTTAGATATTGGCTTCAGACACAGATCTCCTGAAATTAAGTAAAGATTTGGGGGGATGGGAGAATGGATACAAGAGGAGCCCTTGAAAAGGGGCCCCATCTGTCCTGAGTATAAGGTGAGGATATGAGGTTGTAACTGACAGATCCACAAAGAGTTCCCACAAACAAGGGAGCCTGTACCTTCTTTACTAGAGAGGAGCTGAGAAAGTGGCAAGTCCCCAGACACTCCATATGGTGTGGGAGCAGAGGAAATATTTACCACAAAGCCAGAAGCAGCTAAGAGCCAATTGATCTAAAGGGCTGTGTGAGGAACAGTAGATACTTGTGAGGACTAGTAACAGGAGACCAGATAAGAACAGGATGGCTCAGCTGATGGCACCAAAGAGAGGTAATGACCCAGAACAGATACCTTCTCTTCCATCTCTCAAAATTTTGACGCCATGTGATGCCTGATTTAAAAACCAAAGAGAAACCACTTAGTTGCATCACCTTGGTAAAGGGAAGAGATACTAAGTTAGCTGAGATTAAGTTGCTACCACCAGAAAGGTGGCTTGCAATAGATACCAAGTTCTGGTAGAGAAGAGAAAGGATGTTGTATGAGTTGTGTGCATTCTGTAGAACAAGTTTTATACCCATTGCACTACTGTTGTTGTTACTGTGGAATATAGTGTAAGAAGGCACATAATTTAGTCCAAATTTATACACTTGTAAGTTTCTGCACAAAACCAGGAGAAAGAAATAAGATCACAGAATCTCCTTCCCCAATGCCTACCAAAATAAACACAATTTAGAAAATAACAAAAAGTTAACAATTCACCAGGAACTACTTAAAAAGAAAACAGAACTATAACCTTATGCAATAAACTTGGAAAGCAGCCAATAAGGAAAGGAAGAGAAGATTCTGAACCACTGAAATGTGGTGATGCACCTAATCCTTATTTTTCTAAGATGTCTTCCAATTTGAAGAAGAGTAGTGGGAAGAGTGAGCATGCACAAATAGACTGCCATGGTATAGGTCAGGAACAAATATTTGAGGTGAGAAGTCCCTACACAGCATTCATACATCCATCCATTCAACAAATAATTGAGTTCCTACTCTATGCCAATTATCCTTCTTGGTATTGAATACACCAGGGAACATAGCAAACAAAAGTCCCTGTCCTACATTTTAATGGTGGTTGAGGGAGGAAGCAAATGATGAGAAGTAAAAGACAGTAAAACATAGAGTGTTTCTATTGATGAGAAGTGCTATGAATAAAGAATATTAGAGAAGGGGGTAGAATGTGCCTAGTCACCTGCTGGGTAAAATAGTAAAGTTAAGGAAGGCCTCATTGAAATACTGACATGTAAGCCAAGACTTAGACCTGAGAACGAAGCTGTGTGGCTATCTGGGATAGTGTTCTAGGCAGGGGAGCCAGCCTGGGACATCTTGAGGAAGATGTGGGCCTGACACATTTGAGGCTCAGCAAGGAAGCCAGTGTGGCTCAAGCCAAGCGAACCAAGGGATAGAGCAATTCCATTGGCTACCACTCTAAGATCCAAGGATGCACTATAGCAGAGGGTGAGATGGGAGCTTTGGGGGCATTTTGAGCAGGGAAGTGACATACTTTGACAAAGAATGTTAAAGAAGTGTTATGGCAGCTGCAATAAAAATGGGACACTGCCAAAGCACAGAGGATTTGTGCAGAAAGAGGAGGGGCCTTCGGGACTAGCTTTGTGCTAAGATGGTGGAATGCATGGGAAACATATCTAAATGACTAATAGTGGTGGTAGGTTTGGTAGGTTTGGTAGGACGTGGTAGGATCCTAGAAACCATCAGCTACAGCCCCCAGAGTCTGGGAGAGTATTCAGAAAAGAAACATCCCTCCAAACACTTTAACTAAAGGTAACAGGACAAGACCATCTGGTCAAAGAGTAACTTTCCCACATTGGCTCAGAGCAAAGAGAAGCTGTGGGCCGAGTTCTCCATGCAAAGCATGAGGAAAAATTGGGGAAATGGCATTTTAACTATGCAAGCATTCTAGAACACAAACGGGAAAGGAAACACAGTCTGAAAAAGAACAATAAAAAACTCAGTATGGTGTCATTTATACAAGACTCAAAAACAAGAGGATGAAGCAATATGCCAGGATGAAAAGGGAGATTGCCGGGTTAAGGAAACAATTGGGGCCAAAGCAACATCCTTACAGATCAAATAAATAAATGCAAACCAGCAAAGAACAGACTAGGCACAACTAAAAAAATCAAATAATGACCAAAAAAAGAAGGCTTCAGAACATCACAGTGAATGCAAAGGAAGAGGACAAACTGAATAAATCAATGAGCAATGATGATAAGTAAGGACTTCAAAGATGACCCACTTAGAGGTCACTTACATTTCCTAAGAACAGTGCCCAACAAATGGAAGAGTGTTTCGCAGATGTAATTTCACGAATTTTTTTTCCTATTAGAAAAAATATTAAATCTGCACATCATAAGAAATTAATACACTAGGAAAAAAACACAATTTACATGGAGACACTGAGCATGCCCTGATCAACATTAACTATAGACAGTGAGATCATCCAGGCACAAAGAAGGCAGTGAGGCGAGATCCAGCTGGCCTCAGATTTCTCCACACTGGTATTTTTCCAGAAGAAATCAGAGTAATGCCCAAAAGTCCCAAAAAAAGGAAAGTGTAACTCAAGAATATTAAAACTGAAGACGTTCTCAAACATGAAAGAATTCGGGAACTATATGAGCCCTTTTGGGAAATATGCTGGAAGACTAATTCAGTTAAAAGATGAATTTATCAAACATACACACACACCTCGAGGGTGAAGTTATGGTTAAAAAGAACTGGCAATGAGGATTAAATCCATGCTGTGTACCATTTACACAAGGATAAAAAAACAATACAACAGCAATATTTTCTGTTGCTGAACAGAATGTGTTATCAATCATTTTAAGTTTAGAATTATAAAAGTAATGAAAGTCAGGAGGCAAAAGAGATGAGAGAAAGTATCAGAGAATGAATCACTTCATCTTTCATCGTAGGAGGTTAATTAGTACTGCCTAAAAAGTGGAAAGATTTAAGTTAAAAGGGAAAAAAATGACACCAACTTAATTGATGGTATCAGGTTTTTACTTAGCTTTACTAGAAAGAGATTTGAGGAAATTCTGTTGCTGGCAGTGGAGGAAAAAACACGATCCGAAGTTTGAACCATTCCTTCAGTCTCACTTCGATTTATCATTCTTTGCTTACATTCAAGTGAAATTAAGTAAATGCTTTATTGGAATCAGCATGTCAAGTGGGATCTCTAGTTAACTAGCTATTTATCTACCTAAATAACTTTCTATCCTTCCAACCTATCTATCTATGTGCAGGGGTATGTGGAATAATGTCCACCAAGGAAGGATTAACGTCGGTTCTTTCTTTCTTTTTTTTTTTTTTTTTAATGTTGGTTATTTCTTGCTGGTGAAAGTTTTCAATGATTTGTTCTTTCTCCTTTATACTTTAAAAGGTATTTAAAAAATCATTTTATTACAAGCATGGATCATTTCATAAGAAATGAAGTTGTTATGTTTTAAAACCATGTTTTCTTAAGGTGTGCATTGTGGTACATCACTATTTGATGGTGTCCTAAAATCAGAATTATTACTCGATTGTAACTGATGTATTGTGGGCTTGCTGTGTACCAAGTGCTCTGCGAAAGGTCGTTTTCTTTAAAACCATTACTTCATAAGCATGTTCCCTTTTTTTTTTTTTTGAGAGAGAGAGAGAGAGAGAATGAGGGAAAAGAGAGAGCCCAAGACCAGGGCAGACAGGGGAGAGAGAGAGAATCTTTAGCAGGCTCTATGCTCAGCACAGAGCCACACGTGGGGCTCAATCTCACAATCCTAAGATCCTGACCTGAGCCAAAATCAAAAGTGTGACACTTAACCAACTAAATCACTCAGGCGCACTGGACATATTCCCATTTTAAGGATAAGGAAATCAAAGCTCATATATATTGGATGCTGATGTCACACACTTCCAAGCAACTGAGAGCTCAAATCCATATTTCAAATTCCATGTTCATTCAGCAGTCTGTACTGAGGCTCCACTCTGTGCCACACAGTATGTATTCTCCACTGTGGCACAATTCTTAGACTTCCTCCTGATGACTAATTTTGACTAAGAATTTCCTCTTTAGATGGTTAAAGTATATAGCAGTATTTCATACTGATTCAGACTCTAATTCATAAACCATCCTAAAATAGTGCTTCTCTTTGGCTTTCCTTTCTTCCTTTCTTTGAAGATAAAATAGTCACTGATTTTGCATATACCCTGCAGATTTATTTTATTTAAAAAATAAAATATACTGAAATTGGAACCAGGGTGTTTGTTTATGATTCTTTCAGCTGCATATTTGTGCCTTATGTATTTTCTGGATGTGGCTATATTGCACAATTTCTAAAAAAGGTTTTTTGAAAAAGACTGTTAGACACATGCATGACCGAGCAGTGTGTTTCACTCAACAAATTAAATTTTGATCTGTGATAAATAGTAAAACAGAGATGTTTAACCATATTTATATAATTGTACATAAGACTGTGTATTATTTACCTATTGGTGTGTATCAAATAACCCCCAAAGTTAGCACCTTCAAACAACAAAAGTTTATTATTCCACAGATGTTGGGTCAGGAACCTAGGCACAACTTAGCTCGGTGTCTCTGGCTCACTCCCTCTCACAAGGCCAGAATCAGTGCGTTGAGTGGGACAG